CGTGCAAGTACAAATCAAGTAGTTAAAAGGTATGACTCTTCCTGTGAGTTTGTGCCCAAGGTGCACTTCTGAGGGCAAAAATGTTGCTGGTGAGGGAAAGCCAGACCTGAGATAAGTAGAGCACATGTTCCTGTGAGTATGGTAGCAATAATAACTTTTCTGATCCCATTGTAACGTCCACGCCTATCTTTATTCACTTTGGCTTCTAGTTTGAGCAGTAAAAATATTGCACTTGGCAAATCAGATGCATCAGGCCACAATCTAATCAAATAGCTGATTTCTCTAAGGGAGGCTAGACAGAGAGAAGGAAGTGTATAACTTGCAGATACTTACAATAAGGTTGTGGTGACCCACATTTAAGAATAATCCCTGCACGAGCTAATCTTTCTGTGAGGTTCAGTGATTTATAAATCCACAGGCTTGTTATTGCCCTAATTAACTTTTTACCTTGCTGAGGTCTTATACTGAATTCATAGCATGGACAGAATCATTTTGAGTGAATACCATAGTTTTACTGGTCAGATTGTTTTATTTATTTTCTAAGGCATTAAAAACAGGAAAATTTAAAACTGGAAAAGTGCCACTTACTAGGTCTGTGTGAAGTGGCAAGTATTCAATTTGGATTCGACTCCGGCTGACTCAGAGGAGCAGTAATTCGATTTGGGGATTTGACTCACTGTCCCAATTTGATTTGGCCGATTCAGCGCCGATTTGGAGATACGGCCATAGACTATACAGGCAGCAGTCCTCAAGGACTCTGGACACAGCTGCCTCCAGCTGGTAAGTCTGTTGTGGGTGGAGGGGAGAGGGAAGGGGCGGGGGGGGGCAGATCAATGCCCCCACAGCGAGGGAGGGATTGGGGCTGGGGCTGGGACAAGCTGCCAAGCTGGGGGAGAAAAGGGGACTGGACTTGGGGAGGTGGGCTCCCACCACTGCGTGCTGCCAGTCTTGGGGGGCCATGGGAGTGGGCATGTGCCCCCGGATCTTTCAGGGTGGGTGGAGCCAGGGCTGCA